TTTGGTAATACGCACGAGATATCAGCGACTGATTCTGGAATGTCAGTGAGGATAAGATCAAGGATGTTCTTTGATCTAGTCGGAAACGGGCTAACTTGTTCCAGAAAGAAGTCTTGTATAAGATCTCGAAATTGTATAGAGCTGGATGAAAGAGTTTGGGAAGCATTATCACAGTTCCAAATTAAATCAGGAAAATTGAAGTCCCCAGTAATAAGTATCTTTTCATACTTTTCAGCCACTTGAAGAAAAGACGTAAAAAGATCAAGCCAATCGTTGAGGTCACTGTTCGGTGGTCTGTAACAGACACAAAGAAGGCACTTATTTGGTTTTGCAGTTAGAAGTCCAATCGCAAGAATTTCTAGATGATCAGACCAAGTCCCTGAAGCAACTCTGTTATACTGTATTCCGTTACGCAATGCTAACAAGACACCACCTTAGAAGGGCGATCTTTTCTAATGATGTTGTACCCAGAAGGCAGTATTTCGTTGTCACTGGCATTATCATTCAGCCATGTTTCAGTTACTGATACGATATCCAAATTTCCTGCATAAACGAGGTCTTGAAACGATTTGAGATCTAAAAGCCTGTTTTCTATGACCATGCAGTTGTGCTGTAACTGCTGTTTCGACAATGTCAATACATCTTTGCAATCAGCAAACTGGCTTGCATACAGCACGCAAACTGATAAAACACATGAAGATAGATCTAAGTATTTTATATCAATGTTATATCTATTTCACATTATGTATTTAAATTTTTTGGCAAAGCATATATTGTGAGCCTGGGAATTTGGGGGGTAATCACCAATGGCAATGGATATTTTTACAATAACAAATATTTAGATAAAATATCGTTTCCCTGACTAGGAATATCAATAATCAATCACATCAAAATTAATAAACAAACCAGAAGCTCTGGAGCCATTTCAGTAATAGAATATACTCTGCAATTCAAAGTTCAACGTTCAATTGGGATATATATAAAAGTAGATTCACTCTGCAGAAGTATTTATTTTCAATTGCCAATTAGAATAATAATAAATAAAAACAAGTATTAAAACTGAAAATATCTTCAGTACAAAGACAAAGTGAGACAGGGTCTTAGCTAGGATTTTAGATCTTGGACGTGTTTCTAATGACCAGGGCGTGCACATGTCAATTACCTTGAATAGCAAAATCACGGTTCTAGTTATGCTCGCCAACAACAACTATGCTTGTGGTTGTTCTATGCTTTGCAACCAAATACAAGGCGATCATACGCTCATATTGCGCCAAACATGTACTGAGGTCAACAAGTGTCCGGTGTCATATCATGCTGGGATTTGATAATACAATAGCGCGATAATTTTCCCTTAAATCTCTCGTTTCTCGCTTTATTACAACATTCCTAAGATATACGCACAGTTTTGTACACCTTAGACATTGTGCTATCTCGTGTTGTGGACACTTGTTTTGGAAGATATAAAAAGTGAGTGTCACTTTTGCCTCAAAGTTGCGTGACTTGCATAATTTACTATATACAATTTCACGAAATAGGCCAGCGCTCTGCGTTTAAAGCGTCATAACACCGTTTGCCATGCGCAATGTTAAAATATACGCGTAGATTAAAAAAGACTGGGCCTTTGCGGTCATTTTGGTGGGAAAATTGTAAATTTACGAGCAATTCCGGCGGTGTCATTTTGAGGTTGAAATTTTTGTACGTATACAATTATGATCGCGACTTCTCCATTCATTTGGCATTGCATGTTCGTGGTATTTATTTTTATATTTACGTATTGTCTGTTGTTGATGCTGCGAAGGAGGAAAGATATGAATAAGAAAGCCATCAGCAGTTATCGGGAATCGAGATTTCGAAAATTTAATAGTAAATATATAGAAAATATCAAAATCAGTGCGCGCTCGATATCTCGGGCGCGCAGTACAAACTTTCCACACTAGCTGGTCGGGAAATCCTTTCTTTGAGGCCTCAATAAGCAAGTAAGTTTGCAAGTTTAAATTATTCACCCTCATTTGGTTTGTAAATAAGCCGAACATTTGCTAGTTTCCAGCAAATTCTCGATTCGTTTATTTCAATATATAAAATTTGTGTGGTATATCTTGATGAACCATTGTCATTGAGAGTCAGTGAAGTTTTACTATGTTTGATGTCCCTATAATTCTGTAATTTCTCTATAACATGATAATGTATCAATATAATTTTGTCTTGTCGACTTTTACTTCAAGCTTTCGTGGTAATTTCTCATTTAAAACGCTCTCAGCGCCGGCGTTCGCCATATTTCATCGCGTAAAATACAAAGTGCGTCACGCGTGCCGCGAAAATTGATACTGCGCGTGCGCACAGCTAAATGGCAAATGTCCATTCAAATAGGTTCATGACAATTAATGACTGACATTAATTAAAATATTAAGTTATTTCAGCAACTCTTGGGGGTATTTAAAACCATTTTAATACCATACAGTTCCCATTATCCATCAAAATATTTAAACATCATGGATCTCTTTTGCCAATGCAACAACAACAGTCAGGGGCGTAGGAAGTTTCAAAGTTGGGAGGGCCAGGCTTTGAGGAGCACTTTTCGGAAAAAAAGGGCATCAAAAATATTTTTCCTGGAAATGATGGCGACGGAGGGAGGTCATCTCAAAAAAATTTTCCGAACATACCAAAAAATATTTTCTGGATATACCAAATTTTTTCCTAAATACGAAAAAAATTTTCCGGACATACCAAAAAATTTTCCGGATATATGATATTTTTCCCGGAAATTAAAATATTTTTCCGGAAATAACATAGATTCAAGTTTTCAAAAGTGCCCTTTGGGAAATAATGCAATTTTAATGAAAATATTTCACGCAAAAAAGAGCACTTTGCTCCCGGAAAAAAGGCACTTGCCAAAACTTGGAGGGGGCTAGCCTCCCTGCCCCCCCCCGGTTCCTACGCCCCTGACAACAGTAGATTTTACAGACTTTCTTACGACGTAAATAGGAAGAAATTATGTCTTGTAAATAGCGCCGCCTTATTTTTATGAACCTACACGGCCTTATATGAAAATAGTAAAGCCGCGTTAATTTTACCTAGCCGTGTTTTTCCACTTTTGGCCGCGATAACACGGCCAACACGGCCCTCTAGCTAAAACCCTGAAGTGAGATATGTATACATACATGTATACATAATATATAAATAAATTTTGTAAAAGCCGGGGTTGAATATGATGGATAATTGTAATTTTAAAATCATCTGGTCGACCAAGATTAAACATAAGTGATAAAACGAAATTATTTACTTTCCTGTTGAGTAAAGTATATGTACATTACCATATTCTGCCTCTGTATACGTATTTGCATGGAAAGCAAACTAGCGGAAATTGTCTTGTCACATGTCGTATTTATTCTCTCATGGACAACTTTGGACAAACAAAAATGCCGGGTATAATAGGGCAATCTGGCTAATTTTCGTTTTAATTAAAAGAATGGACTAATTATCATTTATAGACCCGGAGCGAGGGGGATTCGGCGTAATATTTCCCGAAGTGATGATATTTTCCGAGGGGCTTTGCCCCGAGGAAAATATCATCACTGAAGGAAATTTTACGCCGAATCCCCCGAGCGGAGGGTCTATAAATGATATATTATACCGAAAGTTAAAGTACTCACTAAGTTCAGAATAAACTTAAATAAAACTTGCTGAATATTATAAAATACGCCAATATATTAATACAATTTTTAATTTCTTATGTATACACTGTACCTGAGTTTTTAACGTTTCCTCTTTAAAATATTTGAGCATGTATCCTTTGGATCATTAATGGTAACATACAGTACGTCTTGAAAATGTTTTGCTAAGTCAAATATTCTGTACGAAAATACGAAATCACAAACAACAGCTTGCGAACGCCATATTTTTTTAGAGCTGTGGTGTCCACGCGTCACGCGTGAGCGTGGGATACTATAATATCCCACGGTGGATCTGCCGTGGGATATTATAGTATCCCACGCTGGATTGCGAAATCATGAATTTGAGTGAAATACCGTAAAAAATCACATTATCACGTGGTACAAATGCTGTTTTTTCATTGGACAATTTGAATTTGAGGTATAATATTATACACTTATTATCCGCTCCGGAGGGAAATAAATAGATTTGCTTTTTCCAAGAGTGTCAGTGTCCCAATAATCCTACTCCTAGTAATTTATAAACTTGCGAGTTGCGCCGCCATTTTGTTTATTTATGTACGTAGCCGGTAACAATTTATTACAGGTGGGGATACATTGCATTTATTTGAAGCCACTTGACCACGAATTAGCCAATCACGTTCAGGTTCAGCACTAGCTATATAACAACATCTTTTAATTTGTCCACGGTGGAGCAATCAGCTTATTGTTAAACCTCGCGAAGTATCTCAAATTTGCAAACCAATTCACCGCTCGGTGGTTCTCGCGGAAGTGATATATATAGTGTAATTACAGGCTTCACTTTGGAGCCTTATGATTCGAATCTGTCACATTTCCCAAGGTTGCAATGCTTAAAAAATCAAATCGACGTTGACATTGTGCCTTAATTACTGTAAGACGACACGAATTAATTTATCACACGATGCATATTTAAATTTAGTTCAATTTTGTGACTGCAGCCACAGCCGGGGAGCTGCACTATACATAAGCCTTCCCGTATCGTGTTGTGTTGTGTTTTGCTATAATATTGTTTTGTGCTGTGTTGTGTTTTATTAAGAGCAATTATTTGTATTAAGACGAAATTAATGGCAATGTCAATGATTACAGTTTCCTACCTTTCTAACTTTAAGTATATACTCATTAAGATTCTGAAGTCTGAACTAATAATAATAATCAATGGTTCAATTGAAGCATATCTACAAAGTAGCTCCACAACATTAATTGTTCCTTATTTGCTTTCATCAGTTAGAATACGACTGTGCAAAGCGGAACGAAGCTTTTAAAACATGATATAATTTCCCACAATTCATGATAATTATTTTGATATGTACAGCGATTATATGTTTGTGCAATAAAAGAAAACGGCTGAGTTGTCTAGTACATTCAGGCAGTGTCAATATATTATCTGACTATTATTAAAATTCCATGTCACGGCGGCGATATACCTATATACTTACGATCCAAGCTTTTGGCCTTTTCACCGCTACAGTCCACAAGGAAAATCACATTTTGTATCAGTAAAGAAAATCTTGCTCTTTTGCCAAAGTTTACATACATTTCCTAAATTATAATGAGCAAAACGACCGAGCCGATAGCCATGACAATGTGTGTTGTTGTTGCAACAGAGCTTGCCGCTTGGACTTCCCCGAATTTACATTCTGGGAATAAAACAAAGGCCGGAAGTCAACCTGTATGGGGAAATTGTCCTCGCTGACCAAATATTTATCGCGGGCGCTTTCTTTAAAGTAAAAAATAGGTACACAGTGCGTACATGTGGCAAGCCAGTATTAAAAGAGAGTTAGAAATTTGACTGAATTTCATCCCAAAAAGTAAAAGCACTGCAGAATGCAAACAAATACATGATATTATCTAAATTAAATGTTCGAATAACAATAGAACCGATTAAGCTCCAGCAACATATTTTTATATATATTACTGTAAAATCAGTGAAAAACATGACAGTATGTGTGTTTGAATTGTTGGATTTTAATAAATTAAATGTAATATTCGACTACTTGCATTGGAAATGTAAAGGCTTCGTTTTGTGGAAACGCCATTTCCACATTTTTTGTGGTGTTTGCACAAAACGAAAGCTTTATGTACTATCAACTCTTTCTCGACAACCAGTTACGCATTACATAACGATTCAATTTTTCTAATATTAAATATCTTGGGCGAGTATTTAATTACCCCCTTTTTAAACGAAAACCACCATTGAAATCCTCACAAAATAACCTTTCGAACGGGGGAAAATGCCGTCAAAACATTACACAAACCGAAACAATCGTATATTTAGTCACCGCTTGGCCAAATATTTATTCAAGCGCTTTCGTGTAGAAAGTTTCGTTTGAATACGAAGAGTAGAATTATTACAAACCGTCAAACGTCGCATTGTTTTGACATATATTGTCCCCGAGCCAACGGCGCGAAGCGCCGTGCGAGGGTACTAATTCCCCCCGGCTATTTACACCCGGAGAAACGAAAGCATTAGCGAAGTCTAAAGTTCATCAAATATCGCGGGCGTGGCTCACCAACGATGTTTCGGTGGGTGGTCATTCTCACTGATCTCAAAAATATGGCGGACGTCTGTCATGAATTGCGGACGCTGATTGGTCCAATTTAAAGTTTGCATTATAACGACTGCATGACGACAGCAAAATAGCAAAGTAAGCAAACATTTCCTGATCTTATTCTTGTGATTTGATGATTGGTAAATTTCTTGCAAATATATTTCATTTTTTCTCGCATTTTTGCAAGATTTTGTAAGTTTCAAAAGTTCTCAAACTGCAAAAGAATCGGCTAAAAGAAGGGAGCCGACGTTAGCGAAGGTAAGTCTGTTTTAAATATTGATATTATAATGGCTTTAAAACCCGACGGCCTTCGCGTATATGAAACAACTAAACAAGACAGCATATAATTCACTAGTGTATCTTTAATATTGATCCCTTTTTTATGATATTATTGAATTTTTTAAATAAAGAAGAAAGCAAAGTTATTTGCAAGCGAGAATTTGAAATCATTTTATTGCAAACACAAAGTTTATCGATAAAACCATTTTAAAAGGCAGCTATTTAGTTTTATAAAGAACACTAGTGACTTTAAAACGTTTTGTTTTGCGAAGCGTTTGTGGTTGAATTTTACCTTAAATTGAGGCTTATATTACGTATAACATACCTAACATACATATATGTTGGGAAATTAATAATTTCTAATTAAAAGCGATATTTTAGGCGATTTTTCATTTGTAAGAATATTCTTAAAAAAAAATTACCATTACAACTACTTTAGATACTTCATGTTCGGAAAATACAATGGTTTTGTCAGCAATGCATGTATGTATTTTCTAGTTTACATTGTATTTCCGGTTGGGATTATCTCATTGAAATGGAAATACGGTAATAAAAGATGCAAATTTGAAGATACAATCTCGAAAATAACACTCTAAATAGTATTTTTGATAGCGATTCGAACAAGACTATTACACAGAAGATATGTCGGAAGGGGCCAAAGTTATGTTCGGCGAAAAGCATGGCTCATGGCTAGTCTACATTTTTGTTGAGACAATCGCATAATTTGATTAAGGCCTAATTCCACGACTAGCGAAATGCGAAATATTTCGTGCGAAAACACACTTGTGCGAAAATTTTCTCTCGTAGTGATTTCCGCAGTAGAGAAAAATTCGCCAAAACACAAGCATTTGATTGGTTTCGCTATTTTGTCATCCATAACGCAAGCATTTGATTTGTTTCGCTATTTCCATTTCGCAAGGGAGTAGAAACGAATTCAACTACCCGGCGAAAAGAAATATTTCGCTGAGAAACATTCCAAAATCATGTTCCGCATGCGTTCAACCTTTGAACTTAGGAATTAGGCCTTAATAGCGGTCTCGCTTGACTGACAAAGGCCATAAGCCCATAAATCGCGATAATGTTGACATTGACCAAAACTATCGATAGGAATTAGGAGATATTGTTTCACTGAATCGAATGGTAGTATTTTCATGTACATAGCATTTACCGAACCGAAGAAATGAACCTGCAAAGTCATATAGCACCAGAAACTTTGTTTTGCAAGATCACCGAACGGAACACACGACTAGACACGAAAAAAGGTCACATGATCCAGCATGTTCGCTACGCCATCGTATTTTGACGATTCTCGTCGTACTTTTACGATCTTTGTGTCACATGCTTGGTCGAGGACAAACAGACATCGCTTTAGGTTTATAACAAAGTGGCAAGCCATATATGGCTTGCCACATAAAACTAGAACAAGAGGCCAGCGCACACTAGAACAAGTTGCACGCACACTTGTCATTCGTGACCAATTACGTGCGACAAAAATCCTAGTGTGCGGGGAAAATATTCAGAATTTTTGTCACTCGTATCTTGAACAACAAATATCAAACATGTTTCATATTTTCCGTCATTCGTCAGGGACGGATCCAAAGAGTATCAAGCGTTGCTCAAGATACGGTCAGATTTTTCCGATTATGGGTAGTAAACTACAATCAGTTTCAAAAGTCTTGGGACAGATGCCACAAAACCTTTGAATTTCAACAACGGTAAATCCTCGCCGCCCCCTGTTCAATGTTGTGTCCCATTTCTCGTCAGGTTTGATGTGTTTTGATTGGAACAACATTGATTGGGGTGGGGGGAGGGGAGGGGAGCGGTATTGTGTGTAAAAACTGTAGTAATCCAATTACAATCTAAAACTACATGTGTCCCAACAACTTCTGAAAGTGATTGTCTGGGTCCCACATGCCATAACACCATTATATATCTCAAACCTACAGGGGATAGAATGCTCTGCGAACGAAGTATTGGAGTGTCAATCCATTCTTTTTTATACAATTTATATACTTTGTGATTAAATAGAACCCACAATATATCAATAAGCGTAATATCCCTAAACACGTTTGCTTAGTACCGTAATGTTCTGAAAATGATTATGCCGCGACAATTGAATGTTATATCATTGAAAATGCTATGTGTTTCAAAGTGACAATCGAGTGTCAATCGAGCACGTGTCCAAGCCGTTTTACATTACATACATGTTTTCATGTCAAATCAATGCACAATCTTTAAGTGGTCTTCGATAACTTACCCTTGCATTTTATTTAGCATTAACCTAGGTTGATAATTAATCAGATAGATTTGTTTTCTCCCTTGCATATAGACCAGGTTTAATCGCTCGGCATACTACCCTCCACACACTCACATCTTTCATTATAAGCTCACTTATAATATACTGCTGGATTGTGTTACATTTCAAAGATATTGACCACAACCGAAGCACAGTAAGAACGTTATATATGCCAATGCAGTTCAGTAAACATGTTATACTAAATGCTATATGATTTTCGCGAAACTGACATTCTAAAACACCCGGTAATTCAAAGAGGTTAAATATGCCTTACATTGCCTTTCAGACAATCAATTTCAAAAGTCTTGGGACAGATGCCACAAAACCTTTGAATTTCAACAACGGTAAATCCCCGCCGCCCCCTGTTCAATGTTGTGTCCCATTTTTCGTCAGGTTTGATGTGTTTTGGTTGGAACAATTGGGGAGGGGGGGGGGGAGTGGAGCGGTATTGTGTGTAAAAAACTGTAGTAATCCAATTACAATCTAAAACTACATGTGTCCCAACAACTTCTGAAAGTGATTGTAGTTGTGGGGAAATATTCACCATTAAAGCCCAGGTCATATTAAGTTACATTACACAACGATAACGATACGATAACTTGTATACGCGTGCTGATTGGTCAAAAATTTATCGTTATTGTCCGACTGAAAAAAAATCGCTAGGGTGAGCGATTTTAAAATCGTTATAGTTATCGTCAAACGATAATTTTATCGGTTTCGTTGTAGTGTGGACACTAACACAGTTTTTTTCGTTGTGTAGTGTGACCGAGCCTTCATAATGTATTTTCACGCAAATTCATTTCTGTGTACAAAAAATATTGAAAATTTTAGTTTACTAGGACGAACGAGGGCAAATTCTTTTGTAAATTTTAAAATTTACAGTTCTAAATGTAGCTTTAGCCGCGTTTTTAAGCCGACGAAGATGAGCCGAGAACTTTCCGAAAAATGTTTTTAAATGCGTCTGCGGTGTTCTGATACGATCCGCGGTTCAAATGTTACTAAATATAGTAACTTAATTAAGTAGTTGGATAAAAAGACGTAAATTGCGATTCTGTGATTTTCTCACTCCGTTTGAGAGGGAAACTATAGCAACCAATTCTGGATTCAAACGAAGAGTTAATTAAAACTCGGATTAATTTAAAGATATTGCGTTGAAAGGCTATGAAACCTACATCTTTAAAGGACAATGGCAATAAATTTTTTTATTCTCGATATCTATTAAACATACCTACGGAATACTTAATTACGTATTTTCACTTGTCTATCGCGTTTAGTTGTTCAGAAATATCATAAAACTTTCTACAGTCGTCCGCCATCTTGAAAAAAACCTGGTATGCTAATTTATGTGAGAATAAATTTGTGACGTCAAGAGCAGGGGAAACAAATATTGTCAATATAAAATAGTATGCGTGCGAACACATTCTACGAAGATTTTGACCAAAAAGTGCGGATAAACTCCAAATTTTTTTGTATAACTGCGTAAAAATTTAGCGCTACTACTCTACTGTGTGTTTCAGCTGTGTTTTTGAAATAAACGCGTTGATTTCGGCGGTAAAAGCTCTTAGATTATAAATGATTGGCCATATGCATAGTCTGGTACTATGTCAATATGACAATATGCTCGCCTACTTTGTAGACTTTTATATTCACTGTTCTCGGTGATCACGGCTATGACCACATCAACAGGAACAATATCGCATAAATAAATACTATAAAATGACTGAGAATATGTTTTGATTCTTTGCAATTCGCGTGCAAAAATCGTTTTGTGATATAAATAATGAGAACAAATTTGTTTATAAACTTAATTTTAATAAAGCATTAATATATACACCACTGCACTTTAATAGATAATAGGACAATTGCAAATTATAATAACATTTGTTGTAGGAAATTGGGGTTGCATGCTGCACATTATATAATAAAGCTGATTACATCGAAGGAATTAGAGGATCTTCAACCTTGGATTTTGTCTCAGTTCAAAAACAGTTTAAATTTCAAACCTGTTTCGAGCACCCAGGCCGAGGGCTACTTTATTGAACAAATTTCAACGCTGTCAACAGTATAAAACTAGTTTATCCCCAGGCTTGAAAATGCTTCATGTAATCGGCACATACTATAGAGTTATTATTAAAAGAGTATAGATTTAGCCAAATTTGAATAAATGAACATTCAAACAATCTCAAAGCCCCAAACCGCTCTCGAATACACAATTCCCATTATAGACTAATTTTAAAACTATGCAAGGAGATGCAAATAAATCACCACAGCTAGAAAGAGCATACTAAAATGGGTAACATTGCAAAGCTTGGTTGCGAAATGTTGTAAAATGCGGAAAACATAGCAAATTTTGTATACTTTTGTATTGCGTGCGTTAATTGCTACCACATTTGGGCCGAAAATTAGCAATTTCCGCACGCAATACAAAAGTATACAAAATTTGCGAACTTTGCAAGGCTATATGTTCCGCATTTTACAACATTTCGCAACTAAACTTTGCAATTTTACTCATTTTAGTATGCTCTTTCTAGCTGTCGTGATTTATTTGCATCTCCTTGCCTAGTTTTAAAATTACTCTATAATGGGATTTGTCTATTATTGTGTGAACACACGCATGCCGTGAAGTGGCCTTCTGTTCTTATTCCCCAAAATCTGAAATACCCAACGCGAACATCGTTGGAAGCTACTAGTCTATAAATTTTGTGTATCTTGTCCAAATCTTTGTCATCCAGAGGCCAGTTTAATATCTTCAAGATAGCGACAAACGTCTATTTAATAGCCCTTCCGACAAGCATGTTTGCTTTCAATTCTGCATGTATTGACAGTGTTGTAAAGGCAGTCGAGCACTTCTCCCCTTGGGTTTCAGCCTCCTTTAATCATGCATCTTATTCATCGTAGTCTAACGCTTTATCGTGGCAACAAAACAATTCAATATCTTTTGGCTTCAATGTGCAATGCGCCAAGCATTTTCGACCTCAAACACATTACACATCGTGATTTCCTCGTCAGACGATTCACTCTGTTCTTCGGAGTCGCTCTCGTCACCGCTATCGCTTGTTTGTAAGCCCAGTTTAGGTTCAAATTGATAAGGTAATACCTTATCTACTTGATATCGTGGATATTTTCCATCCGAGTGATGAAAAAGCGCCAAATTTCTCACTAGAAGTACGAAGTCGCAATATGCGCCTAATAAAATATATTTGTTGTTTTGATTCTACCCTGCTCTTGACGTCACACACGTCATGTGACCCAAAAGATAATTTTTTTGAAAATCGATCCAAGATGGCGGACGTACTGAATATTTATGGTGAAATAACTCGAGAACAAAACATTTTTGATGAAAACTAATGGCATATTCGTAATCAGGGGGTCCAGTTTTACCAATATCAGGAATAAAAAAATTTATTGCCATTGTCCTTTAAGTTACAAAGGTTTTGAAAATTGTTGAAACAACTACTAGCCTATAGTGTTTGACTGTTATGCTCATTTCCTGTATTCATTAAAATTACACAGATTTTTTTTCAATTGTAAGACATCATCATTCACAATTACACTCTTTATAAATATGAAATATGAAAGTGCAGTTGTGTACATTTATTGTTTGTTAATACATCTTATTCAATTAAATTGGTGTTGTATGTATTTTAAAATGAAGAATAAATTTTGTTGTGATTTGAAATTGAATATATTATTTATCCTTATTTAATTACCAAATGAAATTAAAATATTTTTTTTGAATAAAATATTTTTCAATAATTCTTTACTGTCGTTCTAATTGAAGTGTTCTTCAAATATTGATTCAATACATTACCTTGGGCTGACCAATTCATTTGATCAAGTTCCTTGAGATATTCATACACTTCCCAGTATAACTGTAAACTTCCTGTTGAATAGTTTGAATGCACCAATCACCTGTGTTGTTCGTGCAACTAACCAATCATAAATAGAAAGGAAGTGACCAGAAATGATCAAATACTTGCAATTGGCTTTTTCACAGGAAGTGTATGAATATCTCAAGGAACTTGTTGAAATGAGATGGTTGTGTTGTGTTACTCTGAGTGTATATCCACACCGAGCAGGCTTGAAGAATATGCCTGGCCACGGTGGGATTCGAACCTATGGCGGCCTTTGGAATACTAGGTGCCCAATGCTCTGCGGTCAGGTCGGTTCGAATCCCACTGTGACCAGGCATATTTTTCAAGCTTGCTCGGTGTGGATATGCACTCAGAGTAACTTCACATGTAAGCATCATATTCACCTGAGTACACTACACCAACACAACAAATATCATGATTATTAGATCACAGTAATATCAAAGGAACTAGACTCGGTTCCAAAATATCGCATACTCAAACCGTCCCGACCGCATAGCTCAGTTCTGTTGGCAGAGCATAGGGCCAGTATTCTAAAGGTAGTAGGTTTAAATCGCACCATGGCCAAGCATAATTTTTAAGCCTGCCCGGTGTGGATATAGACTCAGAGTAACATCACACAAGCATCTTATTCACCTGAGTACTGTACATTACATCAACATGTACACAGCAAATATCTTGATGGAATGAATTGGTCAGCCCGAGGTATTAAATGTATTGAATCAATATTTGAGGAACACTTACAAATAAGGTATGAATCGCATAAAATGCAGATATCAAACATTGTAAATCAAGCATAAAAATGTGCATATTTGTTTTAAAAGGCAATTGTTCCTTGAATGTTCAATGAAATAGTTCCATCACCTTTTACAAGGAAGACCATTCTAAAGAAATACACTGGACTTTCTTCATTGCCACCCTGTATATAGTACAGATATCCCATATTTTCTTGATAAATTCATACCTGAAAGCGGAATACATACAGGTGTAAAAAACTTTAATGGTGATAAAAGTGCTTTATATTCCAAAGAGTTGCTTTTCCCCACAATTTTAATACTAATAGAACAAACTGGTATTAAAATCTCTAAAAAAACCTTTGTCGGCTCAGGGAAATTTATAGCAGTGCGGTTTTCAACAAGCTATATTCGCTTAATTTTACTTACTGGGGATTGTTATAATACTCGTGTTTTAAAGAATAATCTTGATAGTCAGTTGCAACACAAATTCACAATACAACAAGAATTGATAAATCATTTCAATGACTTACATGCTTTGTTCTTGTGACCGTCAAGCTCCATTCATGTCTTTTTCTATTAATGGCTTCGGTCTTTATTGATTTATACGCGCAGTTAGAATAATACTGTATTTTCAGAAGGACGAAAATCAAAATAGTGAAAATATTCTCCATCGATCAACTAATATAAACAGTCAGTACAAAATCAGGGGGGGGTTGAACTTTGTCGCCCACGGACATTCGAGCCACGGGTCAGTGGAAACCGCCAAGAAAATAGGTCGATTGTGACGTCAAATCCGCCATGTTTTTGGCCACACACTTTCGAAGATGTAACGTGTAGTACCCCCCCCCGCGCCAATTTCTCTACGGATGTAGACTTTTTCAGAGAATTTTTTTTGCGATTGGGGGGGTGCGGTCGCCCCCCCCCCAATTCTCCCCTCCCCCTGGCTACGCCACTGGCAGTTGTACTTTGTACACCATTACTGGCCCTGGTTTTGCGAAGCGTTTGTGGTTGATAACATACCTACAACATACATATGTTGGGAAATTGAGAATTTTGTAAGTGATATTTTGTAAGTGATATTTTTAGGCGATTTTTCATTTGTAAGAATATTCTTAAAAAATTATTGTGTTACCATAAGAACTACTTTAGATACTCCATGTTCGGAAAATACAATGGTTTTGTTAGCAAGGCAAGGGTTTCTGCATGCATGTATTTTTTTGTAAGTGAAGTATATTAAGGGAAAGAGTTTTTGTTTCGTTCATTGGGAAAACTATAGATTTTTTATTACTGTACTAATTAATTAAATTTAAAATGCACTTTAACTTACATTAAAAATCATAACATTACTATCACATTTGTCCATTGAATTATGAGCTTTATTCTTGAATTAAGTTTGTTCAAATTCTTAAAATTAAACAGGTTATGCGCATGTGCAGTCTGTTTGATCAGTTACTTGTCCTTTTGGGCAAGGTTTCACCCGACCGATACGCATTTACAAGTGTCGGGATTCAAGGACTTGCCGTTTCCTGCAGCCTGGCACTTTTTCACAACCTTGTCTTGACATTCACATTTGCAAGTCGCGTCACTCCATTTTTTGACGTCTTCGTAACCAGTGCATGGCCCAATTTGCTTGCATTTGCACTTGCAATAATTTGTATCCCATATCTAAACAGACAAACAACAATAAAATCTTTTCGCTCCTAATATATATTGAGCTCACTGAATTTACACAGGACAACTGAAGCTGTAAACAGGTTTCATGCAACAGATTTAGGCAAAAGTTGTGAAGTGTAAATCGAAAATGTATTGTCTTGTCGTTTTTCGGGGACAAATTTGGTGGCCGTAGTAAATGACCATATGACCTCGGTCGGAATAATTTTGATATCCTGCTCAACCTCATAAACGGACAACTTTCGAAGTGCAGTTCTTGTAAAAACGCTGGCTCCCGCTTCGCATGCACTGTTTGGGCCACGTGGGGGCCGCCTCCGGCGCTCCTGCCTCTAATATAATAAAATAGTCAGTTTATAGAATCAGAGTATTCTAATTATAAATCTCGTACCTTTCCTGATGGGCATTTAAAATTGTCTCGACAAATGCACTGGCATGATCTTGGGTCATGGCTTTGTGTAGCGTTGTTGCAGTCCTCTTTTTTCACAATGCACTGCACACCACATGCTGTATGGTTGGTCATAGGAACAGTTCCCCGAGGAAATGTCGCATTTAAGTGAAAATGTGCTTTTTTTGTTACTCCGCATTCAAATGGACCTAAGCTGTAGACAGAACCCATACAACGCGAAAGTTTTACATAACGAGGCCATACCGCTGGAGGTGGAACCTTGACGGCCACGGGAGTTGGTTGACAATAGTAGGGAGGCAAATGCTTGTACTGAACACCTGAAACAACAGACAAATTGGGAAAGTTTGTATATTTATGCAATGAAAGATATCCTCGTCCTCAGGCCTATGCTTCGTTGCTCTTCGCGGTAGACTTGGTCGCGTGGGTCTATAGCGACCATGATGTGAGTGCACAAGTATCGAGTGCCAAAGGCACAAGATCCCTAGGACTTAGGAGGTCCGGGGGTATGCCTTGAGTTTGATATTTTTCGCCTCGCGAGGAAAATATCTCAGCGTCTGCGGATGTTGTGAGCTAAGTGCTGACAGAGCTGTTTCATGTGACATGGAAGAAAATAGAGGAAAATGCAAACAATTTTGTTAATTATGTTGTTGTTGAGTAGTTTTTTCAACATGTTCAGTGAAAATACATAGCTGAGCTAACAGCCTCGCGAGGCGGTTAGCTCAGCAAGTTCCTCTCGTGTGCGGCAGACTTAACAGCGAGCGAAAGGTGAAGCCGACAAAAAAATCACGACATAAGTATTTCGTCATTGTCTCCGTCATCAACAGTTCATTGTTCAAGAACTTTCATACTGTATTAAAATTACTTACATATAAAATTTGTAATTGTTTTGAAAGTTTAAATCACAATTTTTATACCTTTATTTACTTTTAACCTGAAGATGGAGTTATACTCTGAAATGTAGTTATTAAAATAATTTTTTACTAAGCCCATCAAACACACGAACATATTCATTTACATTATGCTGGCAGGCAAATTCCGATCACACAATAAATGCTTAAAAAAATGACGTACTAGTGTATTGACTAAAAACTATAAAACTGATAAACTAAAAAACAATTCAAACAAACGCGAAATTATATGACAACGGCAAAGTCACATGCAGTTGCAAGTCAATTTACCTACCTGTGAAATAAAATTTTCTCGCAAGAATATCTCTTTCCGTATTGTTTCCCTGTGCATTCAGGAACGACAGTACGACACAATATATTTGAAAAAGTGATAGTTTTCTCCAGACGGAGAAGTTTTCCTTGACATTTTTCTGACAGCGAACTCAATGCAGTAAATTTCAGGAGCAAAACAGTTTGCTCCTACAATGTATTGCATTGAGTGGGCGATGTTTTTAATTTTTTTCGTGATTGCGTTTAAATTTATACTGGCCGTGTAACGGTTTGTAGAGGGGTAACAAAACTGACGTCCAATCCGCGTAAACCTGACGTTTGAGGGACTGAGACTGACGTCCAATCCGCGTGAAAGACTGCTATCGAGGCTTCATTGTTTTTACAATTAAATGATTGACTGAATATATATATATATATATATATATATATATGTCTTGTTTGTCGATGCTGACACGTATCTGAAGAGTGCTCAATGCAGGTAAGATTTTGCAGAGCAAAACTATTATTGGTGTAGACTAAGACATGATATCTGAAGATAATTTAATAAAACCTAAACCTATTTATGATAAAAGTTACTCGAGTTTCACGCACAAAGGCGATCATCAGACTAAAGTGCTTTTACGGTGGATTGTAGTTATAAGCGTAAAATTTCCTTTCGTGACAACACTTAGCTATTAATTCTGATCTTTTGTTCAGTAGTGATTGTTTATCTGCATTTAAAATGCAGATTTTCTCGGATAGGCACAAGTTGCATATCTTTCCTCCCCTCCTATAAGCATTTGCACGCTTAAGGATTTTCCACTCGATTGCGTAAGCTGTGTCGGATTCCTTTAATTCCCAGATGAACTTCGAGAGCGTTGTACTTCCAGCGTGCTCAACATTGTTGAAGGATGATTTGTGGTTTCGGTACCGCGTTTTGAATTCGTTTTCTGTCATTCCTATGTAATTGCCAAGACGAGAATAACTGCCCATTAAACAATGCATGCAAGACAAAGAGCATTGTATACCAAGCTACAGTGACCCCATCGAACCAGCCATCTAAAATATACATAGGAATGACAGAAAACGAATTCAAAACGCGGTACCGAAACCACAAATCATCCTTCAACAATGTTGAGCACGCTGGAAGTACAACGCTCTCGAAGTTCATCTGGGAATTAAAGGAATCCGACACAGCTTACGCAATCGAGTGGAAAATCCTTAAGCGTGCAAATGCTTATAGGAGTGGAGGAAAGATATGTAACTTGTGCCTATCCGAGAAAATCTGCATTTTAAATGCAGATAAACAATCACTACTGAATAAAAGATCAGAATTAATAGCTAAGTGTTGTCACGAAAGGAAATTTTACGCTTATAACTACAATCCACCGTAAAAGCACTTTAGTCTGATGATCGCCTTTGTGCGTGAAACTCGAGTAACTTTTATCGTAAATAGGTTTAGGTTTTATTAAATTATCTTCAGATATCATGTCTTAGTCTACACCAATAATATATATATATATATATATATATATATATATATATATATATATATATAAAAGTGACAAAGTAGGTCATATCTCGAATACGCATGCGTACTACATGTCGTAGTTTCAAAGCAGCGTAAAGAGCCATGAACGGACTATGACTTTAGTGTGTCCTGCTCTTAGCAACTATGGACAGCTGTTTCACCCTTTTTGGGCTCATCAGCACAGTGTAGCTAATGGATGAGCTGCATCTCCAAATATTTATAGGACGACAAAGTAGGATGCGTATGTGGGACACACAAAATATTATAAAAGTGACAAAGTAGGTAATATCTCGAATACGCATGCGTACTACATGTCGTAGTTTCAAAGCAGCGTAAAGAGCCATGAACGGACTATGACTTTAGTGTGTCCTGCTCTTAGCAACTGTGGACAGCTGTTTCACCCTTTTGGGGCTCATCAGCACAGTGTAGCTAATGGATGAGCTGCATCTCCAAATATTTATAGGACGACAAAGTAGGATGCGTATGTGGGACACACAAAATATTATAAAAGTGACAAAGTAGGTCATATCTTGAATACGCATGCGTACTACATGTCGTAGTTTCAAAGCAGCGTAAAGAGCCATGAACGGACTATGACTTTAGTGTGTCCTGCTCTTAGCAACTGTGGACAGCTGTTTCACCCTTTTGGGGCTCATCAGCACATGTGTGTACTATCAGATTCAACTTTTCACATTGCGGCCCGCAGGACCACTTCTAATTAGAGCACACTGCAACTCAATGAGTTAAACTTATATGTATATATATATATATATATATATATATATATATATATATATATATATATATATATATATATATACATATAAGTTTAACTCATTGAGTTGCAGTGTGCTCTAATTAGAAGTGGTCCTGCGGGCCGCAATGTGAAAAGTTGAATCTGATAGTTTGTTAGTAATTGATTTTTCTATGTACGTATATAGTGTATTTGTCTAACATTTAGGGATCGCAGTAATTGGCGCAAGCTGTTGCGATTTCCCTACCAGCTTGGAACAGATATATACTGATATGAAGTAACATAAACTTCTCGAACCCACCCCCTTACTGAAGATGTATCGTATCAAATGGGACACCCTCTTTTAGGATCCTGGCTAAAAGCCTACATCTCCCCCATTGTCTTATATAGCTGTTACTAAAATGAACCATGTGAAGATTGGCCATATATGCAAGCAAATATAAACGATAGTTCACTCAATTACTGTAATACGTCACAATACACACCAAAATACCACATTCTGTGGTACATTACTTTGTCTAGTTCTTGGGTAACTTTAGTCATCATTGGAAAGATGTTGCACAATACTGTAATGGGTTAACATAGATTTTTTAACTGTGTTGTAAAGAAAAGTGAATTAATTCAAGTAACAATATGCGAATTAGGTAAATGCATGAATCAATTAAGCATGCGTGAAAGGCATTGGTGCCAAAAAATGAAAGTTTCAGCGCCTATTTGAAGGACTTAAAATTGAGCAAGTTTTCTGATATTTGGACCATTTAATAAAACACGTAACAAATTTCTCGTCCATGAACTTAAAATGCATTTTAACCTTTAAAATTTCACAAGCAAGCTATTTTTAATGCTGCTAAAAAGACGTCCCCTGCTTTGGAAAATTAATCTTTACGAAAATTTCTTGATTATTCTACATTATAAGTACCCAAACAATCTATATTTATCAAATATTTAATGACATCGGATTTATGAAATTGAGAGCCGTTTCAAAATTGTCTACTTTTTTATGATACACCCTGTACTAAGTTGCATGAACATGCTCCATACTATGCTGGTCATCCCGTAGTTAATTTGCAGGATGAGAATGGAGCGTTCACTTGGCTTAAAATTGCCTTTGCAAAGTGCTTGTCTGATACTGCCATGTCAGTTTTCGAAAATATGATCATACAGCAGCAGTTAGCCTACTGAAGAAGCAATGCATAATGCGCATAATTACGAATTCTTGATGTTTCCTTTAGCGACGGTAATTGGCTTACAAGTCAATCTTACTATCCAACTCAAACTGTTGATGTTTAATATCACAACCACCAAAACTCCAAAAGCAAATGCTTCACCGTCCATATGAACAAAGCTGCAGTGTATTGCAATTGGAATAAAACGAAACTTTGTTTTTCGTTACTTTTGTCTAAAATGTTTATTTGTTGAGGACCGAAATTTGAGGAGGAAATACGCCGCTCAGAACGCAGGAAATGGCGTTTCCGGGCTTCAAATTTCAAAAATTTTCCGGGGGGCATGCCCCCGGACCCCCCTAGCAATGCGAGGTCTTTCCAAATGCTACGGTCAGATTATTGGCTGGATCCGTCCCTGAACGAGCCCACTGATCCTACCACAGACTGGATCTTGTTTAACACCAAAACCATAAATATACACACTTCCCAAATTTTCCTGACACAAAACAATAGCTTGAAATCAAGGTAAACATTCAAATAATTTTGAATCCATTGAAAATAAGTAGTTTTCATTGCCAGCAAGCAAATTTGAGAAGTGTCTATTGGCTGATTGAAATTGTAGTATTTGCACTCAGCTTAAGTGAAACTCACATGCAACTATACTGCATGTCTATAGATATCGATGGGCTTATACATTGGGGTTTAATTAGGGGGGGGGGTGATTTTAGTAATAATACATATTGTACTGTAAATGTAAACTATACTGTGAACGGAAAGAAATACAAACATACCAGACAGTACAGTGTATAATTATAATCTAATGTATTACAATACTGTTATCTAATTATTGTCACTCGTCTGAGCTGTTGGAATCACTGCCGCTGCATGTGTTA